TAGCTTAAATTGGAATGTCGATATAAATTAATTAATGAGCAGCGTTAAGTGCCCACATTCTTTCAAACTCCCTCACACACACTCTCTTTAATTTGTTGCAAAATAGTATTAACTCAAAGGGCTGGATATGTCATATAAAAAAAAGCTGAATCAAAGAGAGAAAATAAAAAAGTCATGCCAGCACAATAGGTTCTTGGTATGCTTGTATGTATAGTCATTAGTACATGTACATCTTACATTACATGTACAGTCTCTCTTAATGGACACTCTCTATAGCATACACCTCCATTTAATGGACAGCACCTAGTGCACCTAGTTTATCTACAGGGCTTTCCAGTCAGTCTCTCGGCATATGGCATGTGTAAACAGACAAAAACTCCTGGAACAAGACTTTGCATTAGAAGGAAGTTAGCTGACGAATAGATTTTTAAGAACAGGCTTAGGCAACAACGTGATTAGATCTTTTTTGGTTAAAATAACAAAAAATAATACCAAAATACAATAGTAAATAAGTTGTAGTAGTAGTTGGGGACAATTAAGAGAAAGTCATTTAAACGAATAGACAGCATACCTAAACATAACTCATTAAAATTCATTGAGTTGGTATACCGAAGCCTTAATGAAGGTTCCAGAGAAGATAAGACACGACCTCCTGAGGTTATGTATAAATGTAGGAACTTCTCTTTGACGATAAAGTGGTTTACAGATACAGTAAATGGAATTAGTGGTGCACCAAAAAAACTCAAAAATGTCCATTCGTGTATTGTGGCCTTTTTGTTTTGTTTCTCTTGGTCGCATGTCTCATTGCTCTTGTATTCCTGATAGTATATTGCTGTCTTGTAGTAGAACGCTGTCGAAAAAATTGCTGAGATAAATATTGCTGCAACAAATGTCGAGTTTAAGTCTGGAAAATTTAATAAATGCATTTAGTTTGCATTTCAGTGTGTTCTTAAAATTTTAAAATAATTTTGAATGTAGTTGCTGCTGCTTTAAAAACTAATTATGCTAAATTTTATAGTAGAATTTTTGATGCCAATAAATGTTATAACAACACTTGCCATTGACAACAAAAAATGAATCCACAATGAATATGCATAACACAGTTATGCATAGGGTTTAATACCCCACCACCTGAAGGAATGTATAAATGTGGTGAATATTTTTTGGAACTGGACGAGTTTAAAGCAGCAATTGCAGATACTGCATCACCAACACCAGAACCATCAGTAACAACAACAACAACAAAGACAAGGACATCACAAGTAACACAAACAACAACAGAGGCGGGACCAACAACAACATCAATAATAACAAGGACAACAACACAAACAAGAATATTGACAACAACAATAGTAACAGCAATAAATGCACCAACAGTGACCACAACAATAAGAATAACAGTAACAGCAACACCAACAAGTGGGGGTATGGAGTCTGGTCAAGGCAAGTATTCCACAGGGTATATTATTGCTATTGCAATCATATCTCTGCTTCTAGCAGTGCAGCTGTAATGATGCTGATACTATTGACCTGAGAATATAACTCAAACTAATCTAATAGTAGTAGTAGCATTAGTATAATAGAGTGTGTGCAATTAGTACACATACATACATACACATAGTTATTGAGTGCATATTGTAATGTATAATGAACATTATTATCACATTGTGTTGTAGCAAGAGTTTAGTAGTTCCTATGTGTATGTTTGCTTTGTAGTGACAGTTTAATTTAAAAAAATAACTTAATTAAAAATTATCAGATCAGTCTGGAGGAGAGAGAATTAAGGAGATAAAGCAAAGCAGGAGGAGGGCATATTGTCAATGAGTGACAATGTCCATGTTGAAGAATAATATTACCTTGAACTGAAGAACAATAAAGCACATACTACACCTCAAGTTATTGAACAACAACCATTTAGCAAATTTGAAATGTTTTAAAAAATGGCTCCAAAATTACCCTAAATTTTTATTATATTTTCTGAGACATGTTGATGTCCTTATGCTGTGTAGCAAGTTTGAGCTAATTCCAACCAAATTTTGAGTTTTGAGGGCCAAACAAGTGTTAGAGTTACAAAATGACAGTATAATTTTGTAACTCTGTTACTACACTACTATTACTATACTATAAAATGTACTATTACTATAAAATGTTTTTGGGTCAGTGTTAGATAAATAAGACTTATTCATAAATATTGGAATTAATACGGTCAAGAGGGCACTGCTGTTGATTTGATGCGCAGCTGGATCATAGTACCGTGATTGTATAATTACATGTTTCTTGTATAAACTAAGATAAGTAAGATAAATTTTAGGTCAGTATAACAGTTTTAGATTGTAGTGACACATCAGGCTGGAAAAATATTTAACTTCTCATGGCATTGCCTCTCAAATTGGATTTTTACTCAAATGCTTATAACACTTCAAATAGAATTTTAAAACAGCTGCTACAGACATAGATAAATTCTTCTCATTTAAATCAGTAATTATGAAACTATAATTCATTGGTCTGTGTCTAGTTTACACAGCAACAGCAGCAGCCTTTTTATGTTTATCTCCCGCATTGGCAAGTACAGGCAAGTTACCGCATTGCCCTCTTGACCGTATATTCTAATTAATTATGAATAAGTCTTATTCCTTAGATTGTAGTGTTAAAATGAGTACATTGTACATATAGTGATTGGGTTTTGTTGATCATAAATTGTGACAGACTATAAGTTTTGTGCATCATACCTGATGATGAAATGTGTTTTGTCAATGGTTCCAATAACACCTTTATAGTCCAGATAAAAATTACAATTTGACAATTCTGCACTTTCTTTTGTTATGCAAGAGATGATAAATCTGAAGTGTCACTGCCTATATTATTGTAAAAATTAATCACATCAGACTTTATTATTAGTTTTACCTTTATTAAATGAGATG